GACTAATTAGAGGTCAAACCACAGGAAAAAAGTCTGAAAAAATAGACACAATCATCTCTTGATCACCTTGCAGCCAACTGCATGGGTTCCCATAGCCCGGATTCAACAACAGATGACCTGCAAATAGTTTGTGAATATATCTAGTCTAGTGTACAAATAATATATGAACACACACACACACACTGTGGGATATCCTGTAAATGATACAGTCTTGACATAAAGGTTGCCTGTATTTACATATGAACCCGCAGGAGACCTACAGCTTCTTCTTTTGTCTTAATGCTCATTTATCATCTGATGTTCACTACATTATCTCACCCACCTCAGTGTTTCACCAGAAACAACATATTTGTCATTTTGTCGCCTGTGAGCAAAAGTGCAAATTAATGTTGTATTCATCCCTGAGCAACATTGCTAAATACGATTTATTTCAGTTCAAACTGGAATGAATAGATAACAGTCATGTGATTGGAAAAGTATTTCTTTTTAATTGTGAAAAAATTGGAATCGCTTGGCCCTTCAAACTCCCGTATACTCATGTAAAATCACCTGAATGGAGATATAAGTGAGATATAAGCTGAATCTGTGTGTGACTGTGTGTTTTACCTTGAGACACACCTCATTAGATTCTTCCTCCACTCCAATGTGTGTGTGTGTTTGTTTGTTTGTTGCAACCAAGTGAAAGATGCATGTAAAAAAAAAAAAAAGGTGGATGCCACAAAATCCAAGTCTCTCTTTCCCTCTCTCTCTCTCTCACACACACACACACACACACAGATATTCGCCCACAAACAAACAGACAAAGCAGCCCAAGGCCCACCACTGCCATCACACACGCGACTTGGCCTGTCTGTGTGACACGCACAGTTTGTTTGGTAGTTTTAATTTGACAGGGCTCTGAATAGAGCTTCTGAAACGCACACACACTCACACACACTTCCTCAGACCTACACTCACACACACACACCTTTAATTTGACAGCGCTCTAACAAGAGCCTGCTGCTTGTCAAATGTTCTCCAGTGGCAGCAGGGATCCGCAGAGCCGAGGGGGTTCTGTTCAAGGACATCTGTGAAAACACACATGCACACACGCACACACACACATGCACAAGCTCCTCCACTAACATACACTCGCTTTGAATAGGCCGAGCGAGGCAGCCTGCTGCACCGCGCGATGGGAGAGGGGCTGCACACATGCTGAGGGGTTTCTACACTGCTGTTCCTCTCACTCTCCAT